CCCCAATGTCCAGATCAGCCGACTGTCCTCTCCCGTGTATGAGGAACCTTCCCTTCCAATACGTCCCCCAATGTCCTGATCAGCTGACTGTCTTCTCCCGTGTACGGGGAACCTTCACTTCCAATATGTCCCCCAATGTCCTGATCAGCCGACTGTCCTCTCCCGTGTATGGGGAACCTTCACTTCCAATATGTCCCCCAATGTCCAGACCAGCCGACTGTCCTCTCCCCTGTATGAGGAACCTTCACTTCCAATACGTCCCCCAATGTCCTGATCAGCCGACTGTCCTCTCCCGTGTATGGGGAACCTTCACTTCCAATACGTCCCCCAATGTCCAGATCAGCCGACTGTCCTCTCCCGTGTATGGGGAACCTTCACTTCCAATATGTCCCCCAATGTCCAGACCAGCTGACTGTCCTCACACGTGTATGGGGAACCTTCACTTCCATTGCGGCTGTTCTGCTTACTTGTAAATGGCGATAATTATTACATGAATATCCTTTTCCCGGTCTGTAACTTCTCTTACGTTTAGCAACGCGCCCCAACGATCATTTTGCCTTCCAGAGATACCGGCGTGACCTAAAATATCATTAAAGAAAGAATCGTAAAAAGGTTTCCTATAAATATCTACACTCAGTATACAAACGTCATGGAGCAGAGACATCCGTACAGATAGAAATCCAATATGTCCCCCAATGTCCTGATCAGCCGACTGTCCTCTCCCGTGTATGGGGAACCTTCACTTCCAATATGTCCCCCAATGTCCAGACCAGCTGACTGTCCTCACACGTGTATGGGGAACCTTCACTTCCAATATGTCCCCCAATGTCCAGACCAGCTGACTGTCCTCACACGTGTATGGGGAACCTTCACTTCCATCGCGGCTGTTCTGCTTACTTGTAAATGGCGATAATTATTACATGAATATCCTTTTCCCGGTCTGTAACTTCTCTTACGTTTAGCAACGCGCCCCAACGATCATTTTGCCTTCCAGAGATACCGGCGTGACCTAAAATATCATTAAAGAAAGAATCGTAAAAAGGTTTCCTATAAATATCTACACTCAGTATACAAACGTCATGGAGCAGAGACATCCGTACAGATAGAAGAGTCCAGAATCCACAACATAAAACAAACCAAGACAAAGAAGATGCAAAGAAAGGGCCCCAATACCTCTCCCAGGGGCCCATCTTACTGCAGTGGATTTGTCTCTCTGCTCCCAGTTGCATCATGTGAAAGTATTCTCCTGGTGATAAGAAGTCGGCACTCACCTCTCACCCTGTCAGGGCCGCAGCAAAGAGGGATGACTGTCCTCAGTGGGGGG